TTTAAATGCTTTTTAAAAATTTGATTTACACAAATATATCTCAAAAGTCAGGATTACAATGTGCCAAGTGATAAGGTTCCCTGCAGTGTTGTTTCGTTTAGTCTGGTCTCAAATACAGAGTGCCTGCAAAAACATCAGAAGAAATGACATCTTCCTGAAATATATACTACATTTGAGGGAAAACAAACAGAGGCCCTTCACACACCAGATGACCCATATAAAATGTTTTGTGACAACAGCTAAGCAGGTGACCCATCGTAGGTTTGCAACCACTTTGTTTTGAAAAGTGGTGGGGACAAAATGTTTAGATAGAAAAAAATAACACCTAGTGTATTATGCCCCCCGCCAGCAATATACTAATCATTTGTCGCAGGGCCTTCTATTGATAGCAACATCTGTACACACAGGATCTACAAGGCCAGGCCATGGAGTAATCATAACCTTTGACACAATTTGCTGCTTGTCATTTCTGCCTCAGCTTCTGAGGGAAGAAAAGCCTTAAGATGCCTGAAGACCTGGCTTTGCTCTTCAATGTCACAAACCCAACTCAACAGTGTGGCTGTTTGTAATGTTCACATGGAGAGAATGGAAAACTTGGTCAAGAAAAAACAGTTTCAAGAATTGTTAAAATGTTCTGATGCGCATGGATGTTTTGAAGTGCCATAACTCCAAACTGCACCACTTGGGTCCCGAGAAATATTAGTGTGAACGAATAAACTGTTCTCAAAATAAAACATGTTGTTGTGCAGATAAACCTTTCTCAAAGTGTTATCAGAACATTTGTCAAAAAATTATACTATTACGAAGTGGTGGGGACAAAATTGGCCATTTCAAAAAGTGGCTGGGACATGTCCCCAGCGTCCCCAGCGTAAATGGCACATGTGGTTGCAACTAACTAGTATTTGATTATCAATAATATGCTGGTTATTTGTTCTATTCATGTTGTTTCTTTGGTCTAGAAAATGTCACACAATAGTTAAATAACCCAAACGTTTATTTATGTTTGCATCACTGTTTGTATCACTGGGGAGGCTGAGGGACTTTGCTTTGGGGAGGGAGCTGGTTCAAGTCCAGCAGGGGGGCCTTCTGGGAAATACCGAGGCACCCTTGAGCATATCTCCCCAGAACAATAATGCATGCATATGTGTTTTTGAGATTGTGTGTATGTAACAACACAGTGAAAACTACGTATTTCCCAAAATAAAATAAGCAAATTCTCCCTTCTATACTAAATATCTTTGCATTTCATTTGAAGAGGTCACCTTGGGCTCTGTGCTTTTGTGCGTATTTCAATAAGTGATACAATTACGAGAAAATTAGTCAACAGTAGGGCTGCACGATATATCGTGTCGTGACGATAATCACATGCGCGATATTCACATTGCCTGGACGTGCGATTTTTTTTCTTTCTTTTTTTTTTATCTTTCTTTTTTTCTTTTTTTTTTAGGACTTGCGATATTAAGTAGGCAAAATTAACTCAAACAGGTCATGTTACAATAATTTTTCTGCTTGCTACAAAAGGAAAACTTGCGCGGCTCTCATGTCAGGGGTACTTGAGTGAGTGACAGCAAACCACCAATCACAATCAAATCTCCAAAACAAACGGACCCGGTGATTAAAGGTAAAAACACTGAATGAAGTAGTTTCATGTGTTTCTCCAGGGCAGTTCGGCGCTGCTAACCGAGCTAGCTCAGCTTGTTACTCTGATAACTTAAGATCCAGACGTCCGTGACTAAAATCCGGTTAAATATAGTTAAAAAAATACCAATTGTATAGCATTAAAGTTCAAGAAAGGATGGTTTGCGGAAAGAAAACTGTATTTTCTTCAATTCCTGTATGTTTTCATATCGCAATATATATCGCAGGGGGGCAAAAATCGCAATGTCAGTTTTTTCCAATATCGTGCAGCCCTAGTCAACAGTGAAACAAAAACATAGCTCTAATTCAGTTTACCATTACATAAGAAAGAGAAAGCAGAAATGGACCTCATAACACAAGTTTCCGTTTTGTTCTCTCTCTCAAAACTCTTTCTACTTCCGTATTTCTGTCTAGGTTTCTCTTAAGGCCCTGACACACCAAACTGACACCAAACTGACACCAAAGAACATGTCCCGACGGACCCGATTGTTCTGTCGCCTCATGTCTCCTGCGTCTTGGCCAAAAAGTCGCACTTGAAAACACAGCAAAGACTTCAGCCGACGGCCAAGTAGCACGTACGCACTGCGCATGCGTGAGTGGCAATAACTCTCCTTACCAGCAAGCGGCGGTAGTGTGTATTCTTAATTCAAAAGAGGCAACCGGAAGACAGACTGCTTGATATATACAAACAACAAATAGCGTGCGTTCCATTTTCACTCTCGCCCATCACAGACTGTTTCACATAACGACTTATAATCGAAAACATGTTTAGTGCGGTACTGGAAAATGAAAAATAATAGCCGTCTGTCTGTGCCTTCTTCACTTCCGTTTCGCTTCTCATGCACGGATTCGCTAAGCTTAACAGCCAATCAGAGTGATTTCTTTGGCCGACGGCCTTTTGCCGACAGCCTCCCGATTCAACATGTTGAATCGGGAGCGGAAGGTGTCGGCACGGCCGAAAAGACACGACGGTGCTGGACATACCAATCTGAGTAGGGCGACAAGACGCTCATCGACGGCCAGACACCTATCGACGGCCGAAATCGGCCCGGTGTGTCCGGGCCTTTACTTCTTCAAAGAAATAGTTTAAAAAGGTGTAAACCAGTATATGACCAAACTCAAGGCCTGTTAGTAGCTTTAGAGCTTTTAACTGCATCTCCACGTCCTCTGCAGAATGTGATATGGTTCTGAAATAAACCGTCAATAAGTGGACCTTGATTTGAGATTATAAAAAACCTGTAATACAGCCGATCTCCAGAACTGAGTGAACCCTGTGGTGAGATAGTTTTCTCCAAAAAAATCATGTAGGATGATTCTATTATCAAGGTCATTATCTTCCTAAACCATTAACAATTTAAAGCTAGTGTATAGACAAAGTTGAAGTACATTATATAGGTCAAGTGTTCCAACTGCTTATTAACTTAAAGGTCACCTATCATGCTATTTTTAGGCAATAGCATAGGTCTCAGATATATAAGAATTAGGGCTGTAAAGTTAACGCGTTAATAATTGTTCTTTATTTTGTTAATAATTATTTTAACGTGCGATTTAACGTGCGATTTAACGTGCGATTTAACGTGCGATTTAACGTGCGATTAACGCATGTGTATTTGTCCTCGGCCCGCCCCGTAGTTTCAGAGCCCAAAGGCTTGACGTTGTTGTTGTTAGTTGGATGGTGGGAGATTCTAGCGAGAGATATGGATACAAGGTGTTTAAGGTGTTTTAAACAGCAAGCCAAGCACACAGCTGATGCGGACAGCCCCGCTCCTGCAGCTCGCTTGTGGCAGACCACGCTTGAAAGTTTGCCGGGGAGACGCCTGGACACGGCGTCTACGAGCAGCAAGCTTTCAACAGCGATAGCTAAATGGGTGGCGGTGGCTACAGCTTGCAGGACAATTAACATTGTGGAGGACGAGGGACTAGCTCAAAGGCTTTCTCTCTTGCCGGTTATACCACAAGGTGAGTTCCTTTTTATTTCCTGCTTCTTCACACACATGCTCTGTGCAGTACAGGTTAGCTCTGAGTGTTAGCGATGCTAATGTAAACATGCACCGACCATATTACGTCCAAAACAGTCGGGCATTGTTTCCGATAGCAACGTCTCTGATAGCAACGTTTCTGATAGCAACGTTTCTGATAGCAACGTTTCTGATAGCAACGTGGGTGTAAAGCCAGCCTACATTTCCGATATTACGTCATATCGGACGCAAAGCTGTATCAGCTCCGTTGTAGCCCCGTTTTTAGAGATTTGGGTATGGACGAAAAGAGAGAGGGTTTTATTTTCTGACGCTGCGTGAGTTCCCCGACTCACCGGGGACACATATTTACGTATAAAAGACATCAAAAAGTGCATTTTGCATGATAGGTCCCCTTTAACACAGTATAGCCTAGTCACAGTGGAGAGATATAAAGTATAGACTCAAATATAGTTAAAAGTCCCTGCATGTAGACTAAAAAACGTTTGGAATTGTTAACATAATGCTGATAAGACACTTTTGTAAAAATTAAATAAAATGTCAGAAATGTTTCTTTTTGACATTCTCTTCATAAAATGAGCCAGTGTTTTGCCTCATTGGAATCCACTATCAACATAATATTGTCTCTCTGGATGAACTTCCAGTGGAATAAAGGGTGGAATCCAAAACTCGAGGCACTTGAAGCCTATTGTTGAACACACTTTAACTGTTCATTTCAGAGGGATGCACTTCTAATTGTGACCTTTAGCACTTTTTACTTGTTTCATGAGAATATGAAACCCTATTTATATATTAGTTCAGGTAGTCATTTCTGATAGGCCTTAGTGGAATTTGGTAGTCTATATTGATCCTTAAATGTCCCTCCAACAAACAGTTCATTGACTTCTGTTGCATGCTAACATAGTACAGTCAAATTAAGTGAGACAAATATGTGTATGCAGTACAACTGCACGACTTCACGAATCAAAGATGATTATTTTTCTTTTTGGGATTCAAATCATGTGATAATGTTTTGTATGTGTACCAAACATGTTTTGTTAAGTCTCTGCTATAGGATTTTTTTTAGAGTGGAATATCTCTGAAGCTCCACAATACTTTATTCATAATGGTATTTAAACATATTTAGAATTTAACAAATATTGTGCTTCCTTCGATTTTAATTTTGCAAGAGTGCATCTTGCAATATTATTGTTGTGTGCTTCATTTTGAGATCATACAGTATGTCGTTTTTTTCTCACATGAACATCAACTAGTCTGCTGTATCCTCAGCTGCAGGTGGTCTTGGAATGTGTTGAGGCGTTTCTTCAGCCATGGGTTTCTGCTGTTGTTGTCTCAGAAGGTAAACAGTGTGTTGTGAGAAGGTAAACAGTGTGTGGTGGAGCCTACCTGATCTTGTAGTTGGGCAGGGTGTGTTTCTTCTTGATGACCCGCTTCAGCTGGTTCACTATGATGGAGGTGAGCTGGGGCAGAGGCCTTCCTTCAAACTGGGACTTCACCTCAAAGTCCACGAGCGGGTCATCGAGGAAGGAGAAGGACCAATGGGAGAAGGGGGTGCGCGTGAACTGCAGCCTCAGCCTCCCCACCACGCGCCTCATCTTCACGAACAGGTAGGCAGACTTCCCGAACACCAGCTCTACGTCGATGGCGAGGTGGAAGCCGCCATTGTATTCAATGTCCACCTCAAAGTTGAGCTCCTCGGACATGCCGTCCTCGTTCAGGTGCATCGGCTTCATAAGTTTGGCCGACTTGAAGACCGGCAGAGAATTACCCAGGGATATGTCCCTGAGACTGAGTCCCTCCAGCAGCCGACCTGCGGTCTTGGTCTGCAGTAGCTCCTCAAACTCCACCTTAATCTTTTTGGTGAGCCAGTGTCTTACCACAGGAGTTTCTCTGAACTCTCTGAATAGGAACAGGAATATAGCATTTAGGAAATTGCAGGTCTCAGCCTTGGCCGCATCCCCGGGCTCGTGGGAAGGCGGTGTCGGCTGTTGTTTGGGGCTGCCGCCGCTGACAGCCGCTTCCTGCTGCCGCGCGGACACGGCCTCTTGTTGTCTGGATGCTGTGCTGTCCGGCTGCTGCTGGCCTGGCTCGGCATGTTGGGTATTAAAGTAATCCTTCAATGCGTTATCAGGCACTACTTTGACATACTGCACTGTCCTGCCTATGGGCTCAGGGCTTCTCCGGTATATCAGCAAGAATTGTAATATCAACGTAACGACTGCCCCGGAGAACGCGGAAATCAATATTAAGTAAATCATATCGAGCAGCTGCCGTATTTAAGACAATGTGTTTTCATAATCAAAGGTTTAGCCGTGTTAACAAAGCAAGTTCCACCTGGTCGCTCTCAAAGCTGCCATATCATCTGCTTCTTTCCTGAGCTCCAGGCTCCTCACCTGATTGGACAAAAGGAATACGTCGCTGTGCGTAATGACGCATGCAGAATGTGTTTCTTATGATGCGTTCAGGGTCTGTCGGATTAACCATTTGTCGACAAGGCAAAACGTATTCTGACAATATCAAGCACGATATGTCTGTCATAAGTGTATCTCCAACCTGCCTTGGCGAGAAGTGTGTGACCATAGCCGACTAATACTGCTGCAAACACTTCTCTTAGATAATACAAACAAATGAATTCAACTTGGTTTAAAGGCAAGTTTATTTATATTTAGCTTTACAAAAATAAAATACATTAAGAAAATGGCATTAAAAAGCAAAGATAATAAAATAAACATTAAAAGAAAAAATACATGAATAAAAGTTATTTTTAGTTTAAGATATGAATAGTTTAAGATATGAATGGCTCAATTGAAAGCAGCGGCAAAAAGAAAAGTCTTCAGCCTGGATTTAAAAGTAGTAAGAGTTGCAGCGGACCTGCATGTTTCTGGGAGTTTGTTCCAGATATTTGGAGCATAATAACTGAACGCTGCTTCTCCATGTTTAGTTCTGACTCTGGGGACAGAAAGCAGACCAGTCCCAGAAGACCTGAGAGTTCTGGATGGTTCATAATATAGCAGTAGGTCAGAAATGTTTTTTGGGCCTAAACCATTCAATGCTTTATAAACCAGCAGCAGTATTTTGAAAATCAATTCTTTGACACACAGGAAGCCAGTGTAAAGACTTCAGAACAGGAGTGATGTGATCCACATTCTTAGTGTTAGTGAGGACTCGAGCAGCAGCGTTCTGAATCAGCTGCAGCTTTCTAATAGATTTTTTAGTGAGACCTGTGAAGACACCATTACAGTAGTCGAGTCTACTGAAGATAAAAGCATGGACAAGTTTTTCCAAATCCTGCTGTGACATTAGTCTTTTAATCCTAGATATATTCTTTAGGTGATAGTAGGCTGATTTAGTAACTGTTTTAATGTGACTGTTGAAACTCAGGTCAGAGTCCATGACTACACCTAGATTTCTGGCTTCATCTGTTGTTTTGAACATTGCTGACTGAAGCTCAGCGCTAACTTTTATACGTTCTGCCTTGGCTCCAAAAACCATTACCTCAGTTTTATCTTTGTTTAATTGGAGAAAGTTCTGACACATCCAGTCATTGATTTGTTCAATGCACTTACTCAGTGTTTGAATTGGAACATCTCCTGGTGAAATGGTTATGTAAATGTGTGTGTCATCCGCATAGCTATGGTAACTTATTTTGTTGTTTTTCATTATCTGAGCCAGTGGTAGCATGTAAATGTTAAAGAGTAGAGGCTATAGAAACAAAGTTTTTCCTGTCCTTTAAGTAGGATTCAAACCAATTTAGAACTGTTGCCGAAAGTCCCACCCAGTTTTCTAGTCGGTCTACAGTAGCAATATGTTGTGGTCAACAGTATCAAACGCAGCGCTGAGATCTAATAATACTAACACTGAAGTTCTGCCACTGTCTGTGTAAGTGGATGTCATTGAAGACCTTAACAAGAGCAGTCTCAGTGCTGTGGTTTGGACGAAAGCCTGACTGGAACACATCAAAACAGTTATTTAAATGCAAGAAATTACTCAGCTGTTCAAAAACAACTTTTTCAATGATTTTACCTAGAAAGGGCAGATTTGATATGGGCCTGTTATTGTTCATTTTTGTCAGTCCTTTCCGTTTTCCTTGATAATAAAAAGAGCTTATTATAGAAATACTGCAGCTGCAGCATATTACGTTTTCCATTATTACAAGAGACGTTTCCTCCCTAAGCACATATTTTTGTTTTCCTGCATTCAGAAACATTTAATTATTGTGCAACACCAATGTATGACATTTTAACAAAAAAACTGGTCCTGACAACAATGTACAAAGCTATCTCATACCTATTATTCAAAATCCACTTTTTCATGTCTTTTATACATAAACATGTGTCCCCTCTGTGTAAAGAGATTCTGAACGTTTCAGGAACAAAGACCCCCTCCCTTTTTGTCCTAATCCATTTATATAAAAACCTGTCTGAAAATGAGCTGATCAGATTTTGGCCACTTTATGATGTCATAACGATTTTTTTGGCTTGTGTAACCATTAGCCAATAACCAACCAAGTAACCAGGAAAACCTATTGTGTTAAAATCCTATAAAGCGAACAAAAGATAACATTGTGTTACTGCATCTCAGAGTATTGAATCAGCTTTGTTTGCCTTTACACATTTAAGCAAATTTACTGATGTATTCTTCATTGTTCTGAATGGTACACACAGCTCCAGTAGGAACATACATAGTTCACAAGCTGGTTGACCATTTCAGTGAATACTTTCATGCCTATTTGAATGTGATGTGAAGTTATCAGAGGCAGACAGTCATAAAATGGATGCTGGATATAGACCAAGTGCCGTGCCGGCGGGACACCGCAGTGCTCAGGCTGAGCTCCGCGGTGTCCGCTGGCATGGCACGCAGACCCCACACAGCAACCAGGAAACGAAACCAGTAATACAGCTCACACTGTCCGCTCCTCGAGCCTCAAAGGGCGGAGCAGCGACCCCCGCAATGTCCCGCCAACACGGCACCCAGACGCAGCATTCTCATCTGTTTGTCATTACTGGTGTCATTTTCTGGTTGCTAACAAACGCCATTGTAACACATAAACACTGATATTCAGCTGTAACCGTGGTTGACTAATCAGAACAGAGTGGGCGAACTGACCAATCAGAGCACAGTGGGCTCATAGGGAGGGGGGGGGCAGGAGCTCCAACAAGGCGTGTAGGACAGAGAGTGAATACACATACTATACAGAGATGCCGTATGAGAAACCAATGTGAGTTTGGAACATTGCACAATGTAAATCTATTCTAGTAGACCTCAACAATGGAATTATCATCAGTAGAAATGGCCAAGACATGGGACCTTTAATAACAATGGAGCTCTATGGCACAGAGGAAGCAGATATATCAGGCTAAAAATATGTATTAGTATACATTCACAGTTTTTGTTGTTCGGATTTGTCGATAAAAATAAAAATACAGACTTTCATCAGACTTATCCTTTTATAAATTAAATCCATGAAATGTTATTAAGGCTGCAAACATCTAGTATTTCTACTTTCAAATGACCTGCAGATGATTGATTCCTTGGTTAATTGATAAATATCTATCAGAACACAGTGCAAATGTACAATATCCTTAAGTACAACAAGAAGTGGTCAGCTGTCTTATTGACTACCCGTTCAAAGACCTAACATATCCAATGCGCTATATAAAGTTAATTATATAAAGCAAAGATAGCAACATGGAAACTAATGTTTAGCGTGTTGCTTTAAAAATAAATCAAACAATTCATTATTTATCTTCCAATGAAATGGTCGATTAATCTAGCAATTGTTTCTGCTCAACAATTATTTTGATTTAAAGTACTTTTATTTTCCTGTTTGAACTGTTAAACTGTGCTAGATAAATACAGTAGATGTAATCATTTGAAACCCTTTTTATACCAACCTGCAGTGACTGATTGTAGTTAGTAAGCTGTGCTACTGCATCAATCAACATTCGGAAATGTTTAAATAAATAATGGTTTCAAAACTACTAAAGACATGCAGTACAGTCAGAATATGCCTAGCCTGATTTTTTTTATTTAATTAATACTGGCCAGGGCCACTAGTAATATATACTGATAGAGGTATCACAGAGAAAAACCGTTGCCTGACCACCATGCACTTATTTGGTGGAGTCCGGCTGCAGAGTGACCACACAGCGCATATAGTCTATCAGGTGCTACACATCTGCTAATCCTGTCAGGCTTAGTGAGCTCAGCCACTGAGATAAGGTCTAGGCCTGGAGGCAGCGGGCCACCATACAGTCCCTGTAATATCAATTGGTATTATAAAATATACAGTATTGGCATTTTAAGATTTATATATAATCATGAGCCAAATAATGCCAGAATGGTTAGCCTTTTAGTTTGTCTATAATATTTCCTATCATTATTGCTGACTCAAAGCATTACAATTCACCAATGAAATGTCATTCATTAGAATCTGAATTCCTTTATTAGTCCAACAAAGGGGAAACTTACATTGTCATAGCAAGAACAATAATGATAGGGACAAAATAAACAAGTATTAAGTAAAGTGGCAAGCACTCATGTAAAATAAAATATTAGTGATAACAAATCCAAAGTATAAAAAGGTAAGTAACATTATAAACATTTAAAAAGTTAAACAAGTATAAAGTAATGAAGTAGCTGCAGGCGGACGGTAGTAAATAAATACTATATTTACTAGTATATAAGTATATATTGCCCAATGTTAAATTACATTATTGTTGTTACAGGTGGAAGTTTTATATGTATAAAAAGTGTATATATTGCACAACAGATGTGTTATGTGTGTTGCTGTGTGTGTGGGGGTCTACCAGGGGTCATGGTGGTCTTACTCCTGCAGGAAGGAAGGAGTGCAGCAGCCTATCGCTGAAGGAGCTGCACAGTGTGGACCTGGTGTCCTGGAGGGGGGAGGGGGACATGTTGCCCAACAAGGATGACAGCTTAGCCATCACTCTCCGGTCCCCCACAGTGTCCAGAGGACTCCCCAGGACAGGGATGGCCTTCTTAACCATCAGTTTAGTCTCTTCCTGTCAGCAGCTGGATTATGTTCTGCCCCAGCAGTCATAAAAGGTCTGTAGCCCAGCACTCCAAAAGACCTCCGTCTCCTCAGCAGATGCAGTCTGTTCTGTACTTTCTCTAGATAAAGAATATAGTTATAACCCTAACCCTAACCCTAACCCTAACCCCACCGCCAGCTCCTTAGTCTCCCCTCTGTGAGCTGGAGGTGGTTCCTCTGGCAGCAGAGGGTGAGGTCCTGAGTCAGTTCTCTGTACTCTCCATCAGAGATGAGGCCGACCATAGCAGAGTAATCCGAGGACCATCTGCAGGCGACAGTTTGCCATGTTGTGGGGGAAGTCTGCAGATAGAGGGTGAAAAGAAACAGT